TCAGGAAGGTGGGGAAAACCATAGGAAGCACCATTCATTCAGGAGCTGAAAATACTGAAATACAAACAGGATTTTCAGCCATTGACTGGAGAGACACTCATGAGTGGCCGTCACCGGGCAGTGGTGAAATCTGAACCGGTTTGCCACTGGTTTGCTGGCTACACATGCGCGCTGCGCACCAAATGCACGGTGCATGCACAGCATGCGCCAAAAGCATGCTGCACACGCATGTGCACCAAACACACACTTTGCACGGAAAAAGAAGACTTCACTAGATAAGTAGAACAGCGAGGGGGGAACAGCTGTGTTGCGCAATTTAGCTTCGCTAGAAAGCAGGATTTCCTGCTTAATAGCGATCTGATTGTTGGAAATACCAGTTCAGATGAACCGGTAGCTTTTTTTAACTACCGCTTCAAATGAACCGGTAGCTTTTTTTTTACTACCAGTTCACCCGAACCAGTAGTTTTTATCACTACCGGTTCTCCTGAACCCGGGGTGAACTGGTAGCATTTCATCCCTGTCACCGGGCCTCCTTCACCCATCTGAGGCACCACGCACTTCTTACCATACCGTCTCTCCACTCTCTGCTTGGATTTTGGCTGCCTGTTGAAGAAATTCAAGTGCCTTCCGTGCACAAAAAGGAACTCCTTTGGCAGGGTACAGGAATGGACCTGAAGTCTTCAGGTTTTCAGCTCTGTTTCTGCAGCCTGCCAAAGGAATTCAGCTGCCTTCGGCAGGCAGCTCTTTCAGGCAGCCCCCAGTGGTGAAAGGGCAGACAGGCAGCAGCGGTTTTCAACATACCCTGCCAGCTTTCCCATTGACTTGTTCTAGATCAAGGACTGCCTATAATTTTGCTGTTGTGAAGAGGTTCTTGTGGGTGGATGGATGGATTTATTCATTTATTTAGGCAGGCCTCAGATGCTAACAGAAGTTGGCTTTATTTACATACTCTGTGGGTGAACTTCTGCAGGCTGTGCTGTTGTTTTGGGGGTTTTTGGTTTCCCACTGTCACCATGAGCCATCCCCCTTGAGAAAGCAAACAAGACAGTGAGAATTTCTTAAAGTTGTACAACTGTTATGGTAAGTCAATGTATGTCGGCTTCAGGGTTCATGTGTCTTAGCAGTGCAGTTGCCAAAATATTTCCTCAGGAGGCCTGTTAATAGGCCCGGGATTACATAAATTCAATACTCCGGGTTCCCTCCTCTTTCCAAAATAGACTACAAATTAACACTGTGGCTGGAGCAGTGCCTAAAAGCTTGGAAATGTTTTTATAATGCAGCTTTAATCATAAGTCATGGGACCTTTAAGATGTCAACTGGCCCCAAACAAATGGAAAAAACGAATGATTCAGTATCAGTTACATTGATACAGACTGCAATTGCCCTTTTAGTCATAACTATAATTCTGCATTCAGTCTACAGGTACTCCTGGACTTACGACCGCAATTGAGCCCAAAATATCTGTTGCTAAGTGAGACAATGGTTAAATGAGTTTTGCCTCATTTTACGACCGTTCTTGCCACAGTTGTTTCCTATTGAAGATAGATTTAATATTGAATAGAATAGAACAGTGATGACAAATCTTTTTGTTGTCATGTGCGAAAAAGTGCGTGCGCAAGAACATGCGTGCGTGCGTGCCTGCACTCATAATGTAATGCCCACATGACACCCATCCCCTGTGCGACACCCACCCCCTGTGCATGTGCACGCAAACCCCCCCCCCCCGCCCCGTTTTGGGCCTAGTAGGCCTCCCTGGGACCAAAAATGGGCTACGGGGGGGCGGGTTGCCTCACTCCACAATGGCCCATTTTGGGCCTAACAGGCCTCCCTGCAGCCTCCTGGGACCAAAAATGGGCCATGGCCCGTTTTTGGTCCCAGGAGACTACAGGGAGGCCTGCTAGGCCCAAAATGCGGGGGGCGGGGGCACCGCACACACACCCGTGCACGCTCTCCCTGCACACGCGACCCCCCCAGGCATGTGCGCAGATCTCCCACAGGCGCCCTGTGCATGCATGGCAGAGACCCGAAAATCAGCTGGCCGGCAGGAGGCACACATGCTCGTGTGCCCGCAGAGAGGGCTCCACATGCCACCTGTGGCATGGCATGCCATAGGTTCGCCATCACGGGAATAGAATAACAGAGTTGGAATGGACCTTGGAGATCTTCTAGTCCAACCCCCTGCTTAGGCAGGAAACCCTACAGCATTTCAGATAAATGGTTATCCAATCTCTTCTTAAAAACTTCCCGTGTTGGAGCATTTATATTGATTAGTCCAGATGACAGCACAGAAAGATAAAAAGACTTTCTGCCTCCAGCCCCCGTTGACAAGATTACTGAATATCATTATGGCTAGACATGAAGGTTTAGAACTTAGTTTCTCTTCTCTTTGTGCTCAAACTAACCCTGTTAATATCAGCCTGCATGAGACTGAAAAGAGGCTGTATTGGTTGGAAGATGGTGAAAAATCTCTCAATAGATTCTCAGCACAGTTAACTACAGGTAGTCCTCGACTTATGACCACAGTCGAGCCCAAAATTTCTGTGGCTAAGTGAGACATTTGCTATGTGAATTTTGCCCCCTTTTATGACCTTTCTTCATAGTTGTTAAGTGAATCACTGCAGTTCTTAAAGTTAGTAACTTGGTTATTAAATGAATCTGACTCCCCATTGACTTTGCTTGTGAGAAGGTCACAGAAGGCTATTACATGACCCCAAGACACTGCAACCATCATAAATATGAGTCAGTTGCCAAGCGCTGAATTTTGATGACATGACCACAGAGATGCCATAGTGATCATAAGTGAAAAACCATCACAAGTCACTTTTTTCAGTTCTTTTGTAATTTCAAACGGTCACTAAACAAACTGTTGTATATTCAAGGATTACCTGTATGACCATATAGAAACCTGATTTTCTAGGTCAAATATGGTTCTCCTGCTCATTTCAGACTCTTTTGCAAAAGTTCATTAAATTCTTTAATAAGATCTATCTTTTGCTTGCAATCTGCTTTTGGGATAAAAAAAGAAGGAAGAAAGAAGAGGATGCCAGATTGGAATGGGCACCCCATTTGTATTAATGCTCCCAAAAATGTATTCTTGACACTATTTTTTATTTTTCATTAGTATTTTCCCACAAATGCAGAGTTCACTTTTTTCAGATCAATCAAACGGTAGTACCGTGTTTCCCCGAAAATAAGACCTTGCCTTATATTTTTTTGAACCCCGAAATAAGCGCTTGGCCTTATTTTCAAGGAGGTCTTATTATTTTGGGGTGCTTGAGCAAAATGGGGCTCCTCTTGCTGTCTTACCTGATTTCCAGCTCTGACTCCCTAACCCTAACCAGAGGAAATGGCGGGGACCAGCTGCTCCTGCGGTTAAATATTTTCAGGGAGGACTTATTTTCGGGGAAGGGCTTATTATCCAGGGTGGTCTTATTTTCGGGGAAACATGGTAATAATAAAAGCACATCTGTGTCTTTTCTAGATTATATTTAAAATGTCTACCTGGAAGGATAATTTCAAGAAGAGTTCAGCTTGGGACAGCCATTTTACTGAAATACATTTTTGGAAGCTGACATAACTTGAGCAGATCTTGCTGCTCCAACTGAGGTCGGGGCAAATCTCTCAGTTTGTTGACCATGTCTGCCAAGTGAATAAATTACTTTATACATGTAACTGTGGAGGCCAAGGTGTGTCTAAAGCAGTGTTATTCAACCTTGGCAACTTTAAGAAGTGTGGACTTCAGCTCCAAGAATTCCCCAACCAGCTCATGCTGCCTGGAGAATTCTGAGAGTTAAAGTCCACACATCTTAAAGTTTCCAAGGTTGAATAACCACAAAAGTGTGTTGTGTTTTCAATGAAGGACTTGGCATTTTGGGGACTGAAATGCGGTACATGAGAGGGGCAGTTGGAATTTTGAAACCGGGTGGTTAGTACCTTTTCGGGGGTCCATTAGAATTGGATGGTAATTAAGCAACTAGTCATATATATTATATCTGTACAGTCTGGGGTGTAATGGGACCAAGAAGCAACTCCTTAAACAGAAACTTCATATCAAGCTGACATGAAAAAAAGTTGAGCTGCTTTAATAAGATGGTTTCCTTACCTAATGTCCTGTAACAATTCTATAACTTTTGGTTGTGATCTTGTACTCCAAACTGGAAATAAATGTTTTCAGCCAGGCTATCCAGTTTCTGTATATTTATGAATTGCAGGAAAGGGCAGTTATGAGGTGGTAGTGATGATGAAGGAGAAGAATTGGAGGAAAGGGTGTTTTAGTATTTCTTCTTACATAATAATAGGGGTTGCTTTTCAAGTAAATAAGCACAAATAAAACGTTTGTTTATTATTCAACTTCTATGCTGCCCGTTTCGCTGAGGCGGCTTACAATTTAAAAACCATATAAAACATTAAAGCAATTTAAATACATTTAAAATTCAGTTATATTTCTGTATGATATTCAGATGTCAACCAGATTTACAGTATTACCAGGAAGAATACAATAAATGTAGTTGAGTCACCATTAGGCAGCTATTAACTCCACTTACATAATGTACATAATAACACCTCTAATGTGTGTTGTTATTTCGGTAATAGCAGTCTAGCACTCTTTCTATCAGATAAATCATCATCTCATCCTTTATTTGGAGAGTTTAACACAAGATAGAAGAGAATGGAAAAGAGAACACACACAAAAATGTGTAGTACACTTTTCTCTGAAACTATTTATTTAATCATATTTCCAGCTTGTTGTTTTTGTTTTGTTTTGTTTTAACACTTCAATGCAATGCAAGACTTTTGTTAGACGTTCCCTGCTGCGGCTATATGCTTTTATGCTTACCTTATAACAGAAGGTGTGTGTTTTGGGGGTGGGGGAATTGCTGAGTCATTCTTTGCTGGGATTTAAAAAAAATAAAAATCCACTCTACCTGTGCTCAAAATGAGCTGGGGAAATTCCTCTGTCCCTTAACAGCGGTGCGTTTTCTTTGATTTGCTTTTTCTAGATCGTAAAGTCCAAACCAGAAAGACCATCTCTGACGCCTTTAATGCTGCAGCCGAGACTGTCAGATGGAATTCCTCAGTTTAGCATCCATTTAACGGATAGTTTGGGTCCCAAGGAGATGGAGTTAGCAGATGAAATCTCCTTCCTAAGCAGTGCTGCGTTCTTCACCAGGTTAGTGTCTCTTCTTTCTGCATCAGAGGCAAGCTTAGTATCCAGATCACCTTCGTGGGAGCGTTATTGTGTTTGTGGGTACACAAAGCCGCAGCTTAAAAGCACTGCAGCAGAATGCCAAGTGCTGTAAGAAATCTTAACTGCTGAGCAGCCAGCCATGGCTACCTTCAATTAGACACTCGTTTTGTTTATTATTAATAGCAAAGCACTGTTTTTGCTTACGTGCATGCCAACAACTCTGCAATGCTAACAGAACTATTAGAAATCATTCCAGAAGATGTCTGTGATTTTTTTTGGTTATGCTTCAAGTTAAAGATCTTCAGGAAAAATTAGAGCAGTTAATAACGCACCGCAACCATGTCTGTGACAAATTAGATTTAGTGAAATAGATAATAATTCTTTTCGGCATTAGTGTTAGTAACTCGAGTAAATTAAAGGAATGCTTCCGTTTGTTAGATGTGTTCTTAATGAAACAAGATGATACTGGAAGGTGCTCTTATCTTGGCTCTGTTTCAGTACTTATAATGTGAGATTGGGGTGGGTGGGAGAGAAAAAGCCCCATAACCTTAACAATTCCTTCCTCTGACCTGCTTTAGTGGCAGGAAAATAAGCAGATAAATCTTACAGTCTGCCAGAGAGGCAAAAATGTAGAGCTTTTTCCACTTGAAGCCCGTAATTTTTTTTAAAAAAATCCTGGTCGATGTGCCAAAAGGAGGTAAATGAAGATGCCGGCAAAAAGGCAAGCTAGACTAAATTAGAATGTTATTGAAACCACAGATCCTGAATGAACCTGAAAAGATTTGTATTATAGCCAAGTAGAATGAAAAGGGGGCTCTTTGCAGAGTACGGTAGCCCTGATTCCAGGTGCTGGAGATGTTTTGAGGTAGTACCGTGTCATAGAAGACACACTGTCTGCTCAAAAGTGCTGAGGCAGCTGATGAAAAGTGCTGAAGTCGGAATCTGGCTGCGGGGGGGAAATGTGCTATCTGTGTTCACTGAAGTGGCTAGTGTGGAGTTGCGTGTTGGTTCCATGCAGTACTTAGGGCTACCTTGAAGGATTACCTGGATAAACCTGACCAACGCAAGACACCCTTCTCAATTTCACACAAGTCTACGCCTAAGTTATGGTATTATCAGCTATGGTGTACCAATACTTCCTGTGTGAAGTGTATGCCAGAAAAGGTAAAAAATAGGTAACCTTTGACTTGCGACCCCATTTGAGCCCAAAATTTCTCCTGCTAAGCAAGACATTTGTTCAGTCATTTTTGCCCCATTTTACAACCTTTCTTGCCACAGTTGGTAAGTGGATCACTGCTGCTGTTAAGTTATTAAAATGGTTGTTAAATGAATCTGGCGTCCACATTGATTTTGCTTGTCCAAAGATTGCAAAAGGTGATCACATGATCCCAGGCAGGGGTGAAATGCTCCTGGTTCGGACCGGATCCGGTAGCGATGGCGGCGGGTGGTTCGGAGAACCGGTAGCAAAAATCCCTGTGCCGCCCCTCCCCTCCATGCCCAGCTGAGCCGCACGATCATCAGAGACTTTCTTTTTTTACTTTTAAAAGCATTTTTTCTACAACCTCTTTCAACGAAAAAATGCTTTTAAAAGTAAAAAAAAAAAGCCTCTAATGATCATGCGGCTCAGCTGGGATCCTCAGAGGCTTTTCAAAGCATTTTTTTCTGCAACCTCTTGGCTGAAGAGGTGGTAAAAAAGTGCTTTAAAAAGTCTCTGACGATCCCAGCTGAGTTGCCTGATTGTCAGAGAGGCTTTTCAAAGAATTTTTTAAAAAGCCTCTCTGACGATCCCAGCTGAGTTGCCTGATCGCCAGAGACTTTTCAAAGCATTAGAAAAAATGCTTTGAAAAGTTTAAAAAAAAAAAAGTTGGCCACGCCCACCCAGTCACATTACCACCATCCCCACCAAGCCACACCCACAGAACCGATAGTAACACATTTTACATTTCACCCCTGATCCCAGGATACTGCAATAGTCATAAATGTGAATCAGTTGCCAAGGTCTGAATTTCGATCACGTGACCATGGGGCTGCTGTAAAGATTTACAGCATCCCCATGGTCACGTATCTGTGGAAAAATGATCGTAAATTACTTTTTCAGTGCTGTTGTAACTTTGGACAATCACTTGATTAACTATTGTAGGTTGAGGACTGCCTGTATTTCTGTAGACATGAGTTACTTATCACAAGGACCAAGAGCAAATTCAAATCCCCTTTGAGCCTAAAAACAGAAAAGTAGTATTTTCAACAGAAATCAAATCTATTGAATTAAAGCACATTAGAACAGATATAAATAAGAACCAAATTTTATGCTTCCCAGTATTGCTTTTGCTTCTTTACTTATATGAAATATATTTTTGGAAAAGATACTGCACTGCCTTTGTTTTAGGAATAAATCTTAAATAAAACACAAAATATCTTGGCTTCCTCCTTACAAAGTAATGTTCTTTGTTTCCAGGAACATGTTATTTTTGTCTCCATAGTAGTCAAGACAATTTTTCCTATTGTATTGTTATTGTTCCTATTGCTATTTGCTAGGAATAGAACTGATGAAAGAAGAAACTGCTTTCTCAGCTTTTTTGGTATCTGTAAATCTAGAAAGAAAGAAGAATATTTGTAGCTCAGGGTTGAAATGAGGGGTCCTTGGTGCTCTCTGAGCTTGTTTGTTTTCTTGCAGATGTTGCATTACCCTAACTAGTAACATTATCAGTACTAGACTAGCACTGATGATGTTATCTAGTTAGGGTAATGAAAAGTGTTCGGAGATTACAGTTGGTCCAGAACGCAGCCACGCGAGCTGTCGTGGGTGCACCTAGGTACACCCACATTACACCAATTCTCCACGAGCTGCACTGGCTCCCTATTGGTCTCCGGTCACAATTCAAGGTGTTGGTTATTACCTTTAAAGCCCTACATGGCTCAGGGCCAGGTTATCTTCGAGACCGCCTTCTACCGCACAGCTCCCAGCGACCGGTAAGATCCCACAGAGTTGGTCTCCTCCATGTCCCGTCAGCTAAACAATGCCGGCTGGCGGGCCCGCAGGTAAGGGCCTTCTCTGTGGCTGCCTCAGCTCTCTGGAACCAGTTACCTCCTGAGATCCGGACCATCCCCACCCTATTGGCCTTCCGAAAAGCGGTGAAGACCTGGCTTTTCTGGCAGGCCTGGGGCCATTGATCTCGCTGTTGCGATCTGGCGAGATCCGGCCATGAATGGTGTGAATGAGTTTTAATTGTTTTTAATGTTTTAATTTTTAATGTTTTTATATATGGTTTTTAAATGCATTGTAAGCTGCCTTGAGTCTTCGGAGAAAGGTGGCATATAAGTTGAATGAATGAATGAATGAATGAATGAATGAATGAATGAATGAACAAACGTCTGCAAGAAAACAAGCAAGTCAGAGAGCACCAAGGACCCCTCAGAAAATCTGTAGTTTGGAAGCCAGAAGTTAGATCCCACGATGACCGTTTGTCTTTGCCATTCTATTTTTATGATGTAAGGATACCATAATTGCCTACAAAACTAAAGCACCATAAGTTGGGTAGTCTACATGATGACTCCATTTTCCTCTTAATGTGACCTTTCCCAACTCTGTCCCTTTCAGTTTTGTTATAACTGCTGTGCCTATCTTCCCAGCCAACACAGCTAAGATCAGATTTAATGTGACATGTACCTTACTTAGCATTTATTTTACTGTAGTGAATAACCTTGGAGAATGCTACGTCTTATGATGGTAGATGATTAGGGGACTAGAGACTAAAACAGTGATGGCGAACCTTTTAGACACCGAGTGCCCAAACTGCGCACGTCCACATGCCCAAACTGAAAGGTGTGCACGCACAAATGCATGCATGCGTAGACATGCATGCATGTGCAGATGTGTGCATGTGCAAACGTAAGATCTTTTTCTTTCATGAGCTTCTGTTGCGTCATTTGCAGGGAAACAGAACCTCACAAAAGAAACGCCACGGAGATCTGACCTGGGGTGATGGCATGCGTGCCAGCAGAGAGGACTCTGCGTGTCACCTCTGGCACATGTGCCATAGGTTCACCATCACGGGACTGAAACATACAATGAACGGTTACAGGAACTGGGCATGACTAGTCTAGTGAAGAGAAGGACCAGGGGAGACATGATAGCAGTGCTCCAATATTTGAGGGGCTGCCACAGACAGGAAGGGGGTCAAGCTATTTTCCAAGGCATCCGAAGGCCAGAGAAGAAATAATGGATGGAAACTGATCAAGGAGAGATTCAACCTAGAAATAAGGAGAAATTTTCTGACAGTGAGAACAATCAACCCATGGAACAGCTTGCCTTCAGAAGTTGTGGGAACTTCATTATTATTATTATTTATTGAATTTATATCCCGCCCTTCTCCCCAAAGGAACTCAGAGCGGTGAACAGCCGAAAATTAAAATAACATACAATATAAAAGTTAAGATAACTAAAAATAAATTAAATTAATTAATTAAATTAAGAGGCTTTCAAGAAGAGATTGGACTGCCATTTGTTAGAAATGGTGTAGGGTCTCCTGCTTGGACGGGGGGTTGGACTAGATGACCTACAAGGTCCCTTCCAACTCTGTTAATCTGTTACTTCTCCTAAAGCGTGGGTATCTGTATTACATAGCATCTCGTTGTAGTTGCTGCTGCCACTGCAAATCATAGATGTGTATGCACTATTGTGATCTGTTTTATAATTGTACAAATAGTGGTGGTAAATGCCAATAGAACACAATGCCAATCATACACATACACACACACACACACACACACACACACACACACACTGTATATAATTTGTTCAAGTATAAGGTCATTCACTCAAGAATTAGTGTTTTGCGTCAATCACTTATTAATTGGTGGTTTTGCAAGCTAGCTTTCTCTCTTTTCTGGATGTGTGTGCTGCAGAGCTGCCAGGAGCCCTAGCCAGCATAGCCACTGGCAATTTTTAAAATTGTACTCTAAAACACCATATTTTCTGCTGA